TTACCCAATTCTTTCAAGGAATTGATGATGGATTCCATGACAAGATCTTTATTATTTTGATGTCTTTTAATACTTGGAATATCGTAATAAGATCTTTATTTTTATTAATATTACTTATTTGATTTATTTCTTGGAATTTACAGATGAAATCTCGAAAATAATTAGTGAAATAAGATCCTTATTTTTTTAATAAAATTGATTTTACAACAAATATCGCAATTAAATTAAACAAACTATTGTAAAAATATTGTAGAAATTAATTTCATTTAAAAAATCTAAATTTTAAAAAAAAATAGGTTGAAACAAAATATTGATATTATATATAGTAAAAAAACACATTTCGGAAACTAAAATTTTTTAATTTGCGAGGGTAAGAAAAATTTACAAACTGATTTCTTTAATAATATTTATTAAATTGTATTTAGATTTAAATCAAATTTTGATCAGAGAGGTGATTTTATAATTATTTTTATACTGTATATTGTTTATTTCAAAAATATTCTTTATTATTAAATGTTATTTCTACATTAAAAAAAAAAAATCTTTAATGTACACTCAACTACATTAACAAATACTAAACCAAATTTTTCTGCTCAAATATTCAAAATTATTCTTAAAGTCCTATATTAATTTGGTTAATTTAATTACTATGCAATATGGATTGTGAAATATTAATTTAAATAATTTAAATAATTTTAAACAGATATGTTTGCGGCGGGATTATTGATACAGAAAATATGGATTCCAAAACTAAGTTTAAATTAATGATTGCTGCTGCTAATGAGTTGGAGTTTGTCGAATCTAAAAATTTCTTGTTTTCATTTTAGTGTATCATTCAATTTAAAACATGACAAATTTAAAATTTTCAAAAAATTAGTAATGATATTATTGCAAAATATCCAAGTATTATTTAAATCAAATGCATCAGATACATAGTTTAGGAATGATTATGTGGTAATCGACAGGATATGGAGCTTCATGATCAAGAACATGGACCAAAATATTAGATATATTTTAAATGGAAAAGGACCGAAATTACAGAAAATACATCAGAAAATTGGGCTAATTTAATGCATCCTCAACGACCAACAATACGAGAAATTGATGACTTACATTCTCAACGACCAACAACGGGAGAAATACTTGGCTTATTTTCAGATTTGCATTCTGGAATATATTCAGAAGAAGTTATCCTAATAAATATGATATTTAATTAAAATATAATGAAACCAAAATAAATGACCCATTTGTAAAAAATTCAGGTTATGACATCCCATTCTAGATATTAAATAAATCCTATGTTAGAATCTACTGGATCAAAAAATATCATGTATTTAAATATTTTAATGATTGTTAAGATGAAATGCCTCATTATATTGATATTGATACTTTCATCCTTTTGATATAATGGATATTACGTATGTTTTAAAAAAAAATAATTGAGTAATTAAATAGATTTTATTATAATAATCGATAGTTCTGATCAAAAAACAAATTGGAAAATTCAAATCTTGATTCAAATGTGTCAGAAGTCCCAGAAAACGTTTTTTAGATGAATCTCCTCAAGAAAAAATCATCGAAGATCATAGTAATATTTTTATTTACATTAGGCGAAAGATCTAAACTAAAAATTAATGATTAATATGTTTATCTCCATTCGTTACAGATTAGGTTAGTTATTTTAAAACAACAAAAAGGCTTAATACGCAAAGTGATTCATTTTCTAACTTTTAATTAATGAATTAATGGTGCTTTAATTTTTTTTTGTTTATTCGAAAAAATTTTTTATATTTTAATTCAACAAACTAACTAATAATATGATTAAGGATCCATTTTAATATCTTGACCTTGTTTCCAATAATTACTACTCCAAATTCAAACGTACAAAATGTATATATTTATTTTTTCTTAATAGTTCTTATTCTATTGTTTCATTAATTCTTGTATTTCATTTTTCATCTATTTATTCATTTATTAACAGTATTCCCCTTAATGATGTATCTTAAAATTCTTTTGTTTCCTTATTCTTTAGTATATTTTCTTCTACATTTAATTATCGCCATTAAATTATGCAGTAAATAAAAAAAAATAAAGTTATTATCATCGTATTTGTAAATTACATGTAATAGTGGGTAATTTTTCATGAATGTATTAATAAAATGTATCAAAATTCTTAAGGAGATTTTTAATTGTCTTGAAGAAATTCATGAATACCAATTTTACATAAACGTATGAATTTAGGTATTAGAGTCTTATAATAATTGAACTCAGAATAAAGAAAGATTATTGTATATTGGATTATATTTGAAAAATAAGCGGTTGAATAAGAAAATACACGATAATGACAATAATAAAAACAGAACTATAATATCATCGCTTCTTCTCATCGTAACTCAAGAGATCAATTCTCGAGTTTACGATGAATGGATTGACCATTTCACTGATAATTTTAAAAACAAATATTTATACTAGAACAATAATATTAATAATTATAATTATAAAAATATCATCAATATACTGTAGTCTAAATTTACTTTGTTTAAAACATTATATAATTGCTTTCTATTATTTAATGTTATTTAGCATACTATTTCCGGATGTAGACTATATTTATTATATTTTCCATAATTAAGTATCAGAGAAATTTTGTATATTATTTAGATGGAATAATAATTATTCTGTCCAAGATATTAAGAATATTGAAATCAATGTAAATGTTCTCGCATAATACATCACGGGGTTCGTTCTGCAATAGATTAGTTTCCAAGATTTCAGATATTTTTTTTAGACAACTATTAAAGATTAACCTTCAAATATTATTGTAACTAATGTAACTGCTACTTTGAGATGTTGAAAAGCAATTTATTAAAAACAAGAAAAATGCACATCGTCTAGCTGCGGGTGAATATATGAACACATGCCGTAAATCTAGGATTGCTGATTGGTTAACAAATAATAAAATTTTAAATAAAGTTAGTGCCTATTAATTTAGGGTCCAACAAAATTTCCGATTCTGCGTCATAAATAGTATTAAGGATATTTCCTGTCTGCGTGGTCAAAAGAAATAGGATATATCCTAAAAATTTCATGCATGCGAATGTACCTTGCGATTAAAAATTTTATGTTTTAAATATAACTTTTATATTTTCTGCGTCTTGTATATTTTTCTAGTATAATTTCCTGCGCACGTATAATCCAATCATTAATAAATAATTAAAGTCACGGTATTTAGATTATATTTTATTTGTAAATAAAATAAAATTAATAAACAATAAATTATACATAATTAATTATTTTTTCATTAAATTATATTAAATTTAAATGAAATAAGAAATGGATACTCAAGAAATTGAATGGAACGCTAAATTAAAGGGAATTTGGGGTAAAGGATTTTTTCTATAGACATCAATGTTCATAAAACAATTACTGAGCAAGAAAAATATCGAAGAGATTTAATTGAAACTGATTTATCTTTTACAGAAATGAAAAGAAATTTTTGATTAATAATTTACAAAAAGTATATGATGCATTAAAAATTGGAAATAATTCTGACGAAAAACAACAATGAAACAATTGTCAGAATTGGCAACAGGCAACTCGATATTGTGAATTTAAATAATTTTGGAAATTGGACATCTGGAAATAATAAAATGAACAAATTAATTCAAGAATGTCAGAAAACAACTGTAACACCTAATAATGTAATTGAATAGATTAGTTATGATCAATTTGAAAATGTCAAATATCTGGCAGAAGGAGGAGTTGCTAATATCTATACAGAAATTTGCAAAGATGGATGCTATTATAAATGGAATTCTGAAAGTCAAATATTGGAAAGATTTGGAAGAGAAAAGATTATTTTGAAAAGATTGAATAATTCAAATAGTAATAATGTGCATTGGTTTCAAGAAGTAAGTTAAATTATTATTGCATTTATTATATTCTGTTTAGCATTTCGGAAATATTAATTACATAATTACAAAATTGATAGGTGACATTAACTTTTACACTCGATAATACTTCATCCTTTCTTGTTGGATGTTACGGACTAACCAAGGATCCAATCACTCAAGATTGTATGTTAGTTTTGGCTTATTATGATAATTATTTAAGACATTTTTTAAAAGATAATTATCAATCACTTACATTATTACAAAAATATAATATTATTCTTCGTATAACAAATAATTTAAATAAAATTCATAAACAGAATATGATACATAGAGATTTGCATTCGGGAAATATTTTATATAATGCACTAAATGGTGACTGGTATATTAGTGATTTAGGATTGAGTGGGACAATTAACAAACAATTAAATAGTATCTATGGGAATCTCCCCCCACATTGCACCTGAACTTTTATTTCGAAAAAATGATACAACAAAATCAGATGTGTATAGTTTAGGTATTATAATGTGGGAAGTGATTACTGGTGAAACTCCCTTTAGCTACTATAAGTTTAATTCTGATTCAGATTTTGTTCTTGCAATAATTAATGGATATAGACCGAAAATTTACAAATACTGTATATTCCATATGAATATGCAACTTTAATTAAACAATGTTGGGATGCTAATCCTGATACATAATAGACCTGATGCAGAAACAATTGATAATAAGATGTTTTCATTAATTCGATCGTTATATAATGAAATGGATAAGCAAGAATCAACTATTCAATCTAATAGTTCCCAATCAAATTTAACAAACAATAAAAGTAACCAAAAAATCCAAACCAGTGAAGTATATACATTTAGCATTTCAGCTCAAACCAGTAAAGTGTATACATTTAGAATTTTAGCTCAACCTAGAAATGCCACAGAAGGTAATCTATTTTTAATTTTCTTTTTTATTTTATATTTGCTAATATACTACTTTTACAAATATTAACTCTAAAGAATAAAAAATAAAAATTCATTTATATTTTTATTAAGAGAATTGATTTACAAAAAGATATGTTTGTAATTCAGGAATTATAAAATTATTAAACTGTAGATCCTACAACCCTTTGGGTTTTAATGAGGCACTGCATATATATAAATGTAAAATAGTTACGATGAAGGAAAAGAAAAAAAATAGCTATTATACATATAAAAGTTTAAAATTGTTATTGAATATGTATGAAAAATATTTTTGTCATAACAGGTGAAAAAAATATTTTTTTTTTAGTAGTATGAGATAAAAAGTTCAGAAAGAGTCCAAGAAAACAGAATAAATCTATGATATATATTTGTGAGTAAAAGTAATTTGGTGTCTATATATATAAAATATGTATTGAAATTATTTTCAAAATATTTTCTATATATCTTTAAATAAATAATAATAATAAATAATAAATAAAAAATTTTTGTAAATCATAAATCATATACGCCCATTGTAATATGTATGATCTACAAAATGATTATTATTATTATTACGATTTCTTGACATTGTAGGTGCCGGAGAATTTACTCGAGATGGTGGTTCTGTTTCGTAATATGAATAAGGAGGTATTATATCAGGTGAATGATTATGAGAATAAGGGGAATGAGGAAGATTTCTTCTATCATTATGACCATAAGGAGGATTTGATACACCGGAATGATAATAATCAGGTAATTCTTGAGTTGGCGATGATGCTGGTGTTGGTCCATTGTAAGGAGTTGGATCAACCCATTGTGAATCATTATTTGAATCATTTAAATTATTATATCCTTGAGAATATCCTCTCGGAGAATAACCTGGACTTGTATCTGAAGTAACTCGTATTTTCCTGTGACGCCTTCGACAACCTTTGTAAAGACACTGAGCCAAACTATAAAATAAAAAGATTGATGATATTAGAATATATATATATATATATTATATTATTTTTTTTAAAAAAAAATAAAAAATAAAAAAGGTAATCTTACCATAATGAAATGAGAAAACCTAATACTATTCCGATAGGAATAACAATTTTTTTATTTTGGTCAAACCAACTTGACACTGTATTAACTGTTAAATAAATAAAATAAATGAATAAAATAATATTAATAAAATACATAAACAAATGTATGTACAGTATATATAAATATAAAATATTGATAAATATAAACAATAAAAAATAATATAATATATAAATATAAAAATACAAAATACATACTTAGTGAACTATTGACACATTTGCCATCACTACATTTTCCACCAAATCCACAAGGAGTTCCATCAATAAAATTACCAGTTAATTCATAACAAGTTGTTGATTCGATAGGACTAGCACAACGAAGAGCACAATCGTTTCCGTTCCCGGCGTTTAATGAACAAGCTTTAGTTACACCTAATTTAGTGCCCTTAGTGATACATTGATCATCTCTCGAAGTACATTGACCACTGGCACAAGCTAAACCATTACCACTACCACAAGATACTCCATCATCTTTATATTGATCTGTTGGACAAATTCCTGATTTCCCATCACAAGATTCAACAATATCACATTCTGAAATTGCCGGACGACAAGTTGTATTTGCACTCTTGTATTTACAATTCTCACAACACATATCATTTTTATCGCTATTAAAATATTAAATTAAATTAATTAATTAAATTATTAAATTAAATTAAATTTAATTAATTGTTAAAATAAGTTTAATAAATTTACTTACTCGCATAAAGCTCCCGATTTAAGTTTACAAGTATTTCCATCACAACAAGGATCGTTTACACATTCTTCTGCTGTACCACAATCACATTCTTCTCCTGATTCTTTTAATCCATTTCCACACATGGCTTCACTAATTATAGTTTTTGTACTGTCACTTGGGTCTAAAAATATTTTAATAAATCCATAATAATTAATATAATAATTAATATCAAAATTAATATCATAATTAATATCATAATAATATCATAATTAATATCATAATTAATATCACGTATATTATTATAAATAGAAACTATAAAATACACGAACCTACAAGACAACTTCCAGAAGAAGTAGATATGAGTTCACAAATATCTTTAAGTGAACATGGACTAAAAAAAAAAATTAAAAAAATCAAAAAATATATAAATATACATATGTGATAAACATATTTTCGTGGGTGTGTATGTGATAATAAAGAATTATAATTAATTACCTAAACTTATTCGTCGCAACATCACTTGTAGGATTCATTATGAATTGTCCGTCGGCATCACAAGTAGTTGAATTTAATGGACAGCATTCTGCACAATTAATACAAGGACAATAAGACGCTATACAGTCATGTGATGCACCTAAAATAATCATCATATTATTATTATATTATTATCGTTATTGTTATTAAAACGAAATAACAGAAATAATAGAAGTTTTAGAAATAATTTACCAAATCCATGACCAATTTCATGAGCAACAACTTTCCATTCATCTTTAGTAATTGTGGAAACTCCCGTTCCAGATACATATGATTGATCACCTTGATCTAAACAATAAAATGAAAAAATGAAATATATTAAATATATAAAATATAAATATAAAATATAAAATATAAATAGTTACCAGAATTTTGAGAAGAAGAATATTGACATAATTGTCCTAACCATGCTACACCAACTTTACTATCTGTACTAATAACATTTTTAAAGTTATTATTGAAAATTATTAAAAAAAAAAAAAAAATTAAAAAATTAAAAATTTAAAAAAAAAAAAAATTTAAAAATTAAAAAATTAAAAAATTAAAAATTATTTATTAAATAAATAAATTAATTAATCAATAAATAAACAAATAAATAAGTTAATAAATAAATTATAACTTACTTGCATTTAGACATTAAATGCCATAATGCAGCACCATCATTTCCTAAAGTTCCTCTCCACTTACTAAAATCACTTAATCGTGTATTAATACTATAATCAGTTGAACATGGCCGATTCCAAGGAATACTCTGATTAACTGTGGTTGGGCAAGTTTGATCTTGAATTTCTATTTTTATCAATCCTAATGTAACATTAAACGAAGCTTCATATACTGCCGATGCGGTTGTCCAATCTTTAAGAATTTGCGTCCGAGCTGCTTCGGGAGATCCGTATGACTGAACTAGTATATATATATATATATATATATATTAATTATATATCAATTTTTTTTATATTTTATTTGAATGTAATTAAATAAATAACTAGTAATTTGTGTAAATAGAATGGAATAAATATAATTATGATAAAATAATAACAATAATAATTACCGTAAGTACAATCAGCAACAGCTCCCTAAATAAATTAATAAATAAATTGATAAATAAACAAATAATAATTTAAATATAACACGTTATAAATAACAAATTTAACACATTAATATAAATACCATATAAGCAATTTTACGTGAAAGAGGACATCCTGATACAGCTCTCTGGAATAATTCTCCTCTTTTTCGTATTTTAGGAATTTTCATTCCAAAATTAAACCAAGGATTTTCCATCCAAGCCAAATTATTACCATTATCACGTTTTTTATTATGATTATGATTATGATTATCCCTTTTAGATTTCAAAATATGATTCATTTTAATATCCAATGCACATGATCCTTCGCTATTACTATTACTAGATACTGATCTTTTTATATTATTAGAATTTCTCTTATCAGAATCACGATATATCACCATAGTAGCATCCCGATGAACAATTGGACGAGCTGAAATATTTGGTATTTCGGGATCATCGAAACTTTGAGAAATTTTAAAATTTTTTATTGAATGTATATTATAAAGTTCATTTTTGTATGAAAATGTTCCTTCGAATGTTGGATGTCGTCTTTTTTTACTAAATAAATAAATAATAAATAAATAAATTAATTAATTAATTAAAAATGAATGAGTGAACGATGAATTATATTTTTATTTTATTTTTATTTATTATTCTTTTTTTAAGCATCATTTAATCAAATATTATTAGAATTGTGATATAATTTATATTTGATAATATTATAATTTTTGTATATATAAATACCTTCCATCATTATTATCATTATAATCAATTCCATCATCTAAAATAGTAATTCTCGCCCATCCCAAAACTCCAACTGAATGATTTAATTCTTCAAATAATAAATCTTTTCTTTTTAATCCTATTATATCTTCATTTAATCTTTGATCCGTAGATTCGGGATCTAATAAAAATCCTTTGTAAATTCTATAATCATCTGGAACTAATCTTTTGGTTGTACTAGTTTTATCATCGTGATGTATAGTAATTATGGCTTTTGGATGAAATAAATCTATATTAGGCTCTAAATGAAGGTTGAATGTTTTATTAAAAGCAATAAATTGAATTCGCATTGAATCATCATGTCTTAATTTTGGATTTTGAGAAGATGAAGAAGATGAAGACGAAGGGGAAGAAAATCTATTTCGAGGGAATATTTCTATTTTAGGATTACCCACAAATTCCAAATATGTTAAAGGCCTCGAAGCAAAACTTGTTGCTAAACAAAGTAAAAAATCATTATTATTATATATATATATTATATTTCATATTTAATTATCATATATTTTAATAATATTTTTAATTTATTTATAAATTTTATTATATTATACCTTGAATATATTTGATCGTAAATAATGATAATAATAATAAAATAAAACTGAATCGTCGTCTCCAACGACTCAAAAAAAAAGATGTCCTCATTATTTTATATTTTATAAACTTTATATATTTTTAATATTTTGTAAATTTCTTAATATATTATGTTTATTTTTCTTAAATATTTTGTTTTATTTTTTATATATAAAAAATAATAATTATAATAACGTTAAATAAAAAAAAAATAAGATTTCTTTTAACTATTAAAAATTCAGAGAAATTCTGAAACGAGGACAACGTATTTTACCTCACACAATATTTATATTTTATAGTTTTAAAATATTAAATATATATATTTGTTTTATTTGTGTACACACATATATATAAAGAGATATATAAAAGATATGTTTATATATAAAGAGAATATATATACAAAATAGAGTAGTCTAAAAAAAAAAAAAAGAGAGAGAAAATTATGAATGAGTATTGTTGTGCTTGTTGTGTTATGGTGTTATGGTGTTATCGTGTTATAGTGTGGGTGTTTGTGTTGTGCCAAGAGAGAATGATTTCGTAACTTATTAATTTATTAATTTATAATAATTAAAAAAAATGGTTTGACAATTTCTTTTTAAATATAAATTTATTGTATTACAAAAATTTCTTTTTGGGTTTAAAATATATATATAATAATTTATTAATTAATTTAAAAATGATATAATAATGGATAGTGATTTTTTTTGAAACCATATATATAAATTATGTAATTTTTAGAATTTTCTCGATTAAATTTAAAAAAAAAATCTAAAAATAAAATTAAAAATAAAATAATCAATCACATGAAATCCTGATTTATAGTGTAAATGAAATTTCTAAATCAAGTGCTTGATAACATAATTCCAAACTTTAATTTTACTATTCAATGGAGAGGGGATAACAGATAATCTAGATATTCGGAAATAAATTTGTCTGTCACACGTTAACATGTTAACGATAACAATCGTAAGAAAACTATTCAACCATCCATTTTAAGTACGAATATGATTTCATTTATTTATATATTTTCTTAAAAAAATTTATAAATAAAATAAACAATGAGTTGATTGATAATTAAGGCTGAAAACATATAATTTCAATGAAGAAAAAATTGTTGAATATTAGAGTTGATAGTAACTTTATTATTATTATTATTATTCAATTAAAAAAAATTCAGTTAAAGAAAATAAAATATTTTATGAATATGTTAAAAGTTTATTTCTTACAAATATATTTCAATAAAGAAAAATTGTTGAATGTTTACAATGAATATTAGCGATTTATTTAAACCTTAGAGTTGATAGTAACTTTATCATTCAATTAAAAAAAAAAATTCAGTTAAATATTTTATGAATATTTCGAAAATAATTAAAGTTTATTCTTTCATGCATGCATGTAAACATATAATTTATTAAATTCATTAAATATCGTTCGCGTACTTTTCAGTTTATTCAAAAAATTATAAAATTGAAAGTTTATATTTAAAATATTTAAATCTAACTTTATCAGTTATATATGTGTATGTATGTTATTATTTATTATTAAAAAAAAAAAGGGAAATATTAATTTTAAGTCTCAAGAAATGGTTACTGTAGATTTTATTTACTTTACACAACGCACAGTACTATACTATGTAAGGCGTCCATTGTTGACAATTATACACATTTATTTTACTGCATAAAAATTCTTTGAAGTTTCCTTGTCCAATTCACTTAGTGTTTTTTATTTTGCGATAGATGAACTAATAAGTCCGTCTCATCACAAAATTTCGATTTTCGTTATTCTCAGGCTGACCACCAATTTTAAAAAATATAATTTATGAAGTTCAAACTTTCTATCTGTCATTTTCAAATGAAATGAGTCAAAACAATAAAGCTCTTATTGAAACCAATAAATTCTCTAAATGTGGCAAAAAAAATTTATTTTGATTCTCTAATTATAAACAGTACAGTGTCAGTGGAAATATAAATATTGATTTCATCATCAAGGTATAACAGGTGATTTCGAAAAAAACATAGGTTTGTAGGTAAAAATGGAGGTCAAAATATAAAATTTTGAAAATCATGGATACAAAATTTTCAATTGAGGCAATTATTTATATCCATTTATTCACTATTATTACTTTTTTAAAAAAATTTAAAAAAAACATATACTTCTATCGCATGCAATTAGATAATTTTAAATGAAGAAAAAATTGTCATATCTGATATAATTCGTAACGTTGATTTGTAAATTACATGTCATGTTTAATAAAATCAGTCACTAATTGGACGGACCCTTGGATTCATTAATTTTATTGGTCCATAATCAAACAGGTGATCAGGTATTTATGACAAATATGGCTTTCGCAAGGATATTCGAATAGTGACGCACGGTTATGAACACACTACCCCTGACAAACTCTAACCCTAACCCATGCCTAACCATATGAGGGTTAGAGACAGAAATCTATACATGTGAACAGCTCTATGTATTTATATTTCTTTAAAACATACATATATAGCATGTAATCCATAAATACTAGGAAAACGGGAACCATTGTAAGTCCGGAGTGTAATTATTGTTATGTGTTCTTTTCTACAACAATCTTTATTGTCCGGAGCATAGCGGAGGACGATATATGGAGAGGTAGGTAAAGTGATAAAATTCTTGGTTTCTGCTCATCTGATGAGTCGACACTTTATCTAAAAAATCGGGAAAACATCCTTTTCCAAAATTACGTTTGATGTTTTTATATTTAAAATATCAAAAACGTAATTTGGTTTACCCTACGCGTCCATTAAGGTCCTTCGCTATCCGGACAATAACAGATTCTCTAGCATATTTATGTGTTTTTTTTTTAAAAAAAATCCAACGGAGTCTTGCTCCAATAAACTTGCATATTTATGTGTTTGATAAATACAATGTAAGAGTTTGTCCATTTTTTTTTGTATTTTTTAATGCTTTGATCTTCATCTGATATTTAGTTGAGTTTTTTCGGATTCTTAAAAAATTCGTGTTTCTATATTTTCATTGAAACTGAATATCCTTTCAACATCAATGCTATCATCATCAGTTGAGTATGTTTTAATTTTCTTTTTCCAAGCTATGTTTTCCATTTTGGATGGGCCATAAAAAATAAAAATCATATATAATAAAATTAATCTTAATTTCTAAAAAGGAGAATATGTATGTAAATCGGGAAATTCGTTTAGAATTTCGAATTAAAAGAATAGAACATTCCATGTTATGAATTACATTCGCAAATGTAGTGTCATCCCGGAGTTTTTTAAATGCATGACGATAAATTCTAGAACATTTAATTTTCTCAAATTGTATTCTTCAAAATTTTTTTTCAATAAATATAAATGAGAGAATTTTTTTAATTTACCTACTATTCATAGGTTTCCTGTTTCTATTTTATTTGAATAAAATGACTAAAATTTTTTTTACAAGAAAACTTGATGGATCTAACAAAAAAATGAAATGCATAAAATGCAAAAGTAGAAGTCGCATTAATAATTCACATATATGTTATTATTGTTATGGCATGAATTCTTTAATTGCTAACAGTGGTAATATAAACATTGATAATTTTATCAAAGGAACACATTCAATATCATCTATGATTAGTATGCGAGAACCAGTTTTACAATGGGTTCCTTTTGAAGAGTTTATAGATGTAAAGAAAATTGGGCAAGGTGGTTTCAGTCAAATTTTTAAAGCTACCTGGAAATTTGTTGAAGGCATAATCATAAGTGATAACGGTAAGGTCAAGCGGCCAAACTCAGAACAAGAAATTGTTTTGAAAGTACTAAATAACTCTCAGAATGTGGATACGGAATTTTTAAATGAGGTAATAATCATTTATTCATTGTTATTAATTATTTTAATTTATTAATAGTATTTATTGCATTTGAAAAAATATAGTTGAAAAATACATTTCAGTATAATGATTTCGTAATTGAATGTTATGGAGTAACGCAGGATCCACGAACAAAGAATTATGCTTTTATTTTAAAATATTTACCAAACGGAGATTTGCATCATTTTATACATAAAAACTTTGAAGAATTTAC